TTTACAAAAATGCCACACTTTTAAAATCTTTACAAAAATGCCACTTTTTCAAAATTATTTTTTCTTTATATTATTTATGTTTGGGTTAATTATGTTCTATTAGAGTCTAGTTTTGAGTGTTTAGGGGGTTTTAGGTGTCAAAACATTTTTTAGGGTTTAGAATTTTAAGATATAAGTTTTATAAATCTATAATTAGTGGCATTTTTGTAAATGGACACCCCTAAGTGGCATTTTTGCAAATGTGCACACAAAAAGTGGCATTTTTGTAATTGTCCCAATTTAATTTTTATTTTTTTAATAAATAAATTAAAAAGCCAAAAGTCAAAAAATTAGAAGACACATGGCACCCTCTCATAATTTTGGTTTTGAGAAATCTTAAAATATTATATTAGATAATAAGTGATTTTTCAACATATATATATTGAGAATAAATTGAGAATAAGTGGTATTTTTATCTTTTTTTTTTATTTTCCGGCTAAACTACTTTATTGATATCCAAAAATTACAAAGTTATTTACATATTTTATTTTTTCAATACAAAAATATCACTCTATTCTCAATTGATTCATATAGTTTAGTAGTACTGTTATTTTGATCGTTAGTTACAAAAAATAAATCTTCTTAAGTAATGTTGCAATCTTTTCAACCGAAACATCATTTATTTTTCAGAAAAATGTGGTAATATTATCAATAAGATCATTAACAAAATCTGCAAAAATAACTTATATATATACATATGTGTGTGCGTGACTATGTGTTATGACATGAGCAGGATAAACAAAGAATTGTTCTGTTATAAAGTTTGAATTTAATATTGTTTGGCTAAAAACGCGGAGTTTAATGAATTATTTTTCTTTCAAAAAGTATCATCTAATATATAGGATAAAAATAATTCAACCAATTATAAATGAGACTGTAGAATATTATTGGTCACACAATATCCAATAAAATAAAAGTACCTAAATTTGTCAAAACAATCTATATTTTAAAACAAAAAAAATCTCCAAAACAACTTATATTTTGAAACGGATAGAATAATAATAATACAATTTCATTGTTTTTATTCAACCGAAACCATATTTTTAATTAGAGAAACATTGTTGTTATTCAACCAAATCACACACTAATATAACATTAATAGTACTATTACAAAACTTACAATAACTTTAGTGTCTAATTTGTAGACAACAAACAATATTTCTGCGTTGATTAATAGTAAGTACTGTTCCCTCTGTACTAAATTAGATGATTTTTTAGAGATTTTTTTTTTCGTTTTAAATTATATGATGTTTTCAGTTTTAAATACAAAATTAAATATATTTTTATTTGATTTGAATATTTGTATTTTACTGTTTGATATACTATTAGTTGAATTGTATTTGTTTGGATGATAAATGATGTTTTAACTTAGAAAAACTAAAGAATATAAAATTTTCTTAACTTGTGTGATAAATCTTTAAACATCATCAATTGTGATACATAAGGAGGAGTATTTGAATATTCAAAGACGACACCTTTTTCACCGAATATTCAACTCCTCATCTCTAACAACAATTCAAATCGTGTAAATTAAATGAACAACTACCAAGAATAAATAAATAGGGTCAAGAAATCTGAAAACAAGATTTGCACAATATGAATAGTATGGGTCCATGTATCAATGAGTGTC